ATAAAGTAACGGTTGTAGTCAAAATTTGCAAGGGAATAGATTTAATACAGGACAATAAGTTACAAGATTATTTTATAACATACACCCAAAAAGTCCAATGCAGAGGAGAGCAGGAGATCTGACCTGGACCCCACAGCAGTGTCCCACACGAGTCCAGCTGAAGACCCGGAGCCCACGGCAGAGACTCACGCAAGTCCGCATCGAGGATCTGCCCCGGGAAGGCCCAAGGCCTGGGTGGAAGCCAGAAAGCCTGCGCTGATTGGCGAAGGATCTGTGTTACCAAGCTGAGGGATCCGCACTGGAGCCGGAAGTGACACTAAAGCAAAGCTCAGGGCTCCCTGATGAGGACAGAGCCCATTCCCAGTGAGAGAGGACCTGGAGCTCCTCCAACAAGGACAGCCAAGTTTGTATCAGGAAAACCAGCCGTGGTAAGCTTTTCTAGGGAAATCAACAGCAAACGATCTTCCCCTCCAGTTCTCCCTCAGGTGGGTCCTCCATGCTCAGTTCAGCTGTGCGCTCCAAGCTGACCACTACTTAATCAATCAAAATAATATTGATATTTTGATTTGTAATTTGATTGTAGATTAATTAAAAAGTAAAATTAATTTATTTCTCTGTGTTCAGGGCAATTTTTTAAAAAGTCAAACCTTTTCTAGATAATTAAAAAAGCAATAGGATTTACTTATTTAACACACTGGTTATTCTGTAACAATTTGTATAAATGGTAAATTTTGAATGTTATTTTACCTAGATATAAAATTCCATATGGATTAAAATGTACAAAGATTTTGTTAACAAAATTTAATTATGTTTTTAGAGACTCAACAACAGAAAAGTATATTGGCCTAGCTAGGCGTGGTGGCAAATGTCTGTAATCTCAGCACTTAGTAGGCAGAGGCAGGAGGATCACTGTGAGTTCAAGTGCAGCCTGGGCTACATAGTGAGTTCGAGGCCAGCATGGACTACGTAGCAAGATCCTGTCTCAAAAACAAAAAATAAAAAACAAACACAAGCAAACAGATGAACAAATGTATATGCATAATAATAGACCAAGAGATCAATGGAACAGAATACAGAACCCATAAGTAAGTTCACACTCTGGTCAACTCATCTTCAACAAAGGTATCAAGAATGTACATGGGGATGGGGTGGGGATTTAGCTCAGCAGTGGTGCCACTGCCTGCCTCACAAGCTCAAGGTCCTCAGTTTGATCCTCAGTGCCAAAAAAAAAAAGAATGTACACGGGGGAAATAATAGTCTCTCCATTAGTGTTCAGAGAACTGTATATCTACACACAGAAGGAGGAAATTGTACCTTTATCTCACCCCATGTATAAAAACCAACTAAAACTTTGATATGGTAGAGTACAATATCCTTGTAATCCCACCATTTTGGGAGGCTGCTGCAGGAAGATTACCACAAGTTCGATGCCAGCCTAGGCTACAGAGTGCGTTCAAGGCTAGTTTGAACTATATGGAGACACTCTGTCTCAAAAAAAACCAAAACCAAAACAAAACAAACAAAACAAGGCTGGATGTAGCTGATGTAGTTCAGGACCTGTGTTCAACCCCTAGTGTCTAAATAATAAATAAAATGAAATTTTAAAAATGGATTCAAGAACTAAACATAAAGCCTTGATTTGTAAAATTACTAGATAAAACGGAAAAATTTCTTGACATTGGCCTTGGCAGTTTTTTTTTTTTTTTGAGACAGGGTCTCACTATGTAGTAGAGACTGACCTGGAACTCAGTATGTAGCCCAGGCTGATCTTGAATTCACTGCAATCCTCCTGCCTCAGCCTCCCGAGTGCTGGGACTACAAGCGTGCGCCACCACGCCCGGCTTTGGCAATAATTTTTTGGGTATAACACCAAAAGCTCAGAAAACAAAAGCAAAAATAGGCAAATGGAATTGCATCAAGTTAAAAATCTTCTCATAGCAAAGAAAATAATAGAAGAGACAATCTACTGAAAGGGTGAAACTATTTGCAAACAATACATCTAAAAGGGGTTAATATTCATGTTATGTAAGAAACTGAAACAGCGAGAACAAACCAACCACCCAAACAAATAGCCTGATCTTAAAATGGGGCAAAGATTTGAATAGATGTTTATCCAAAGACAAGCAAATGGCTCATGAATGTACGAAGAATATTTTACATCCTTAATCTTCAGTGAGATACAAGTTTACACTTGTTAGAAAAGGTAGTAAGTCAAGAATTGTCAAGAGAAGGGAATGCTTCAACGCCGTCGGTGGGAATGGGAGTTAGTACAACCTTTATGGAAACTGGCATGGAGTTCCACAAAAGTTAAATTAACAAAAGTTAAAATGAAAGTGCTTTACACTCCAGCAATCCCACTTCTGGGTATATATCAAAAGAAGTGAAGTATCTTGAGCCAGGGATTTAGCTCAGTGGTTCCGCTCCATTCCTTGCAAGTGCAAGGTCCCTAGTTCGCCTGTACCAA